CTGCTGCTGCTGCTGCTGCTGCTGCTGGGTCCCTCCTCTGTCTCCATGTGCCCCTGCGCAGCTCTGCACTTGCTGCAGTCGCACGGGCGGCGGCACCAAGTCTCCAGGGCTTTGTAGGCCCTTTTCCTCTCCAGCCCCGCAGCTGCCTCAAAGCCCTGCAGCAGCTCGAGAGGCAGCAGCTCCCGCGTCCGGGCTTCAGCCTCTTCAGGTCCAATGGTTGCATGCGGGGCTTCCCACGGGGCCCCTGCAGCAGAAGCAGCACTTGAGCTGGAGGCTCCGCCGCCCCCCATTGCTGCTGCTGCAGCGCCACCAGCCCGCCGCAGTGGTCCCCTCGCGCTGAGGCAGCCTAGAGAGGCTTGCTTGCGGAGAATGGTCTTTGGTGGACCAGTGGTCACTGCGCCGGCCGCGGCACCGGGAGCGGTGGCACCAGCCGCTGCTGCTGCTGCTGCTGCTGCTGCTGCTGGCATTGATGCTGCTGCAGCGCCGCGGCTCCGCATGCGCGAAAAGGGGACGCCTGGAGCTGCTGCTGCAGGCCCGTGCAGCAGCGGGCGGCGCGGAGAGGAGACAGGGGCCTGGGGCCCTTTTGCTGCTGCAGCATGCGAGGCTATGGCCTTTTGCAGCTGCCGGCGTTTGGGCTCCGAGAGTTTCTGCAGCGCGTCGCCCACAGCAGCAAAGCCTTGCGCGTGCTTCGCCACTGCAGCAATAAGGGCAACTCCAGCTGCCCTTACTGCTGCGTTTCCATCGTCTGCTGCTGTTCGCCCAGCAGCAAGCAGCAGCGCAGCAGCCTTCTGCAGCGCGGGTGTGGGGCCCCCCTGCTGCTCCGTGGCCTTGGTGAGCTCGTCCAGCAGCAGCTTCTGGTAGTGGGCAAGTTTTTCTTTAATTGGCAGCAAGTCCCCCACCACCACATCTAAGGGAATGCACGACAAGTACGTGCCAATGCATGCGCATGCAGCAGACTGCACGGGCCGGTTGTTCACCTTCAGCTTCGCAAGCGCGTCCGGCAGCAGGCCCCGCAGCTGCTGCTGCAGCTGCTGCTGCAGCTGCTGCTGCTGCGGCCCATCGCCGCCCTGCGGCTGCAGCAGCAGCTGCACCAGCAGCTGCAGCGTCTTCAATGCACAAGTCACCACGGGGAGCGTTGGCTCAGCTGCCAGCGTGCGGTGCATCAGCGGCAGCAGCTGCTGATGTAAGAAAGGGTTTTTCTTGTAAAGGCAGACACAATCTCGCAGAGCCTGAGAAAAGCGCGCAAAACAAACCCATTCACGCGCATGCAGCAGCAGAAGCAGCAGCAGCAGGAGTAATACTTCTACAGAGAGCACTGCTGCTGCTGCTCTGATAGAGCTGCAGCAGCAGCAACACCAGCAGCGTGCAGATGCTGAAATAAGAGCAGTGGCAGAGTAAGAGGTGAAGTCCCTAGCAATGCAGCAGCTGCTTCGAGCGCAGCTAAGCAAGTGCTGGGTGAGCAAAACGAGCAGCAGCACGCACAGCAGCAGCAACACCGACAGCAGCAGCACGCACAGCAGCAGCAACACCGATAGCAGCAGCAGCAGCAGCAGCAGAGCGAGAGCAGCAGCAGGGATCGCCGCGCAGGCAGTAAGCCTCACGGCTTCGAGCTGCTGCCAGGCCTGCAGCTTGACTTTCCAAGGGGGCTCTTCATTTCCCTCTCTTTCCCCTTTTGCTGCTGGCTGGGTCCCCTCTGTGACTCGGATTACCCAGTCAGTTTGCTGCTGGCAAACGGCCTTCAGCACATCAGTTTCGGCGAGAAGTCCCGCAGCAAGTGGGGCCCCACACCCCCCCTCCCCCAGCTCTGCTGCATGCGTTTTGCTGCTGCTGGGGCCCTCGCTGGCCATCCCAGCTATACAGAGGTGTGGGGCGGGGGGCGGGTTCGCAGCAAACTGTTCAATGAGTTTTTCGACTTCAGCTTGCATGGACTTGCTGCCTTTCAAGCCCTCCAGAACGGCCTTCTTTGCTGCTGCTGCAGCCGCTGCTGCTGCTGCTGCTGCTGCGGGGGCTCCCGCTGCAGCAGCAGTCAGGTGCACGGCCGTGGCAGCCAAAGTGGCCACGGCGCTGCGGACCCGCTTGTCGCTGCATGCAGCAAAGGGCGAAATGGTCTTCACCAAATTTTGGAGGCTGCCCACAGCAGCAACAAACTGCAAGCCGTAGGACTGCAGCAGCTTGAGCAGCAGCTCCAGGCTGCTGCCCACAACTCGGAGAGCCTGGCCCTTGATGGCAGCAACATTGCCTTTCTTTTCAGCCAACAAGGACTGAGTTGCTGCTGCCACGAGGGCTGCTGCTTCTGCAGCACAAGCAGCAGAAGCGCCGCTGAGCCGCAGCAGCACCCCGCAGCAGCCGGCGAAGTGCCGCGGGTTCGGCAGCACCTGCGAGAGGATCTGGCGGCCGTGCTGCTGCAGCAGCTGCAGCGCAGCAGCAGCAGGAAAGGCTGCAGCAGCAGCTTCCGCCCCCACGAGCGCCTGCAGCAGCTCCACAGTCTTCGCAACCACCGGCGCGTTCGTGTCTTTCAAAATAGAAATGAAGTGAGGCTTCACCAGTTCGTCCCACAGCTTGACGCGCTCTTCGCAGCCCCCGCAGCTGTACAGACACCCCACCACTTCGTCAAACCCGTGCAACTTCTGCTTAATTGCTTTACTCTCCAGCCTCACTCCCAGGGGAATTCCGGAAAAGTCTTCTGCCTTCTGCAGGGGCCCCAGGCCCCCATCTCCCAGCTCTTCCGCTGCATGCAGCAGCTCCGCCTCCTCAGCTTCGCAGGCCCCTGAGGACGGCCTCTTCTCAGGGGGGCTTCGCCGGCCCCCGCCAGCCCCCGGGGGCCCCCGGGTTCGCTGTGGGGGACTGCAGCGTCAGCCGCTGCACTCCCAGACAGGAAAAGTCCAGCAGCTTCGTTGCTGCACTTTCTGGGCTGGCGAGGGAGGGGGGCAGCGGCCGGAAAGCCTCCTCAGGGGGGCCCCCGGGGGGCCCCTGGAGGCTGGGGGCCCCCAGGGGGGGCCCCTCGGGAGAAGGCGGGGGCTCTGCCTCTGCTGCTGCTGCCAAAGCTGTGGAGGCCGAGGAGCAGCTCTCAGCTGACTGGGCCCTTGTGGTCACTGAGGAGAAGGCGGAGTCGAGGGACTCAGTCGCATTTTCTTTAATTTGTTTTTCAGAAACAAACTCAGTACCCTCTTGCTTTATGCTGCCCCCGCAAGCGGCCGGGGCCCCAGCAGCAGCAGCAGCAGCCACGGCTCCCGCTGCTGCCCTTGCGGCCTCGAAAGAGCCTTCGCCGCAGACGCTCCCTCCAACTGCGTCACACTGCTGCTGCTGCTGCTGCTGCTGCTGCTGCTGCTGCTGCTGCTGCTGCTGCTGGGTGATTTCTACTGCACGGAACTTGGCGCCCTCTGTGGCCTCGCCTGAAGAGTTCAGCCTCCGGCCAAAGAACTCCTGCATCTTCTTCGGGCGGGCCTTGGGAAACAGCAGCCGCCGCTTGCGGGGGGGGTCAGCCTCGTGCTGCGGATTGGGCGCTGCTCCCTTTGCTGCTGCTGCTGCTGCTGCTGCTGCTGCTGCTGCTGCAGTGGGCTGCTGGGGGCCCCCGTGCGCCTCATCTGCTGCTGGGGAGTGGAGAAGAGGCCCTTCGGGCTGCTCGTGCTGCTGCTGCTCCATGGGTAGAAGCAGCGAATTGGCAGGGGCTCCAAACAGCCCCACCCCTGCCCCCCTACCACCCACAGGCGAGAGGGGTCAGTTTAGGGTTTGGGGTTTGGGATTTGAGAGCTTTCTCATTATATTTGTTTTATGTATAAGGGCCAAAGAGCCCGGGGACGCTGCAGTGCTAGAAAGACAAAAGCCAAATGTACCTGCTGGCCAGGTTCAACGAGTCATGCCGGCAACGCCGATCGGCTCCTGTACGCCACGCTGACTAAATTGCTTTTCCTTTTTAGTTCTAACCTTAAATTAAATATAATATAGGGAGAATTGGAGCAATCTTAGGGGCTAATCGGGAAAACGGAGCCTCATGCAGCCCCCAGTGTCGGCCGTGGCTTTCGGGGGGGTTGTTGTGTTCCTCGTGGGGTAATAAGCATTAAAACGATGGCTCCTCATAATCTGCATTTATTTTTCTCGTGCCTTTTATTTTGAAAATAAAAGTTTCTGCTCGTATAAGCGTGCACAAACCCCCGAACAGACGCGAAGTTCAAGTCCCACTTCTCAGAAAGTACCACCACGAAACCAGTCGGCCGCGGGTCTTCCTTTTCAGAACTTTCCCACAGCCACAGCTAGTGAGACTGACACTGCGACGAAAATGAGTTTTAGATATTCTATTTGAAATAAATTAGCACAAATTCTACCTTTTGTAGGTGCAGCTGTCTTGATGCATGCGTAATCAAGTTATTGTTTCATCCGGAGTTGTTCGCGCGCCGGTGTTCTACGAACTAATCTTATGCCCAAGTACAAAAAGTAAATGAATCTGAACAATATGAGGCTGCGAAGACGGTATTAACAACTTTTAGATTTCGAATTCATCGAACAAATGGCCGCAAAGTGCTACAGCTAGCCTGAACTCACAGCGGAAAGCTGCTCCAGCAGCAGCCAGCAAACAAGAGCTAAAGCTGCAACGGCCAGCAGAGGAGCCTTCAGCCAAAATAACTTGGAGCATTAAACCCTAAACCCTAATTTCCTTTTATCCCATCTCTAAATCCCTCCGTATTGGCCCTCGATTGAATCCGGTGCACCAAGAGCCCAAGTTGGAGAAGACACAATTAGGAAAATACTGGGCAGTAAACAACTAGCTGAAAGCTGCACTTAACATACAAAGAAAACAAATTCAGGGCAGAGTGAACAAGAAGTGCATATAAAATTGCAGGTTTGTTCATTTGCCCGGAAAGACAGTTCTTTGTTTCTTCCTAAAACGCATTCATTTTCGTTGCTTTCCTTCAACCGTCTGCTCTACCTGTCGGCGTCTTTGAATGGCTCGCTATTTGATGTAAATTGCTCGTTTTGTTTCTTGTTTATTTTGCATTCAACAATTACTTTGTTTTCATATCATTGAGTGATCCATCAGTTAGTTTCCTGTCTGCCTGTTGAGCAGGCAGAACCTGGAAAGCTGAATAAACCAGCGCCGCGGCTGCACCGCTAAAATTTGCAGCTCTTGTCATAATTTCAATGCGAATTCTATTCGCTTTTTATATTTTTCAAAAAATATTTGTTTATTTTCTACTTCTGTTGTGGTTCTTCACCCATCTGTTTGAATTCGGGTTCCCAGGTCCCAGCCCCACCACCACTCTTGGGGGTGGCGCAGCAGCAGCTCTGCCAGACGCCGTAAAGGCTCTCATGTGCCAGCTCTGGGCCTCTAGGCAGTAGTTCTGCACACGCAAGCCATAAACCCTAAACCCTAAACCCTAAACCCTGAGTTGGGAAGCCAAGGAAAAAGGGTGGCGCCGGTTTGGAAGCTCAGACGCATCCTGGAGGCCCAATGTGCAAGCTTTCCCCCAAACCCTAAACCCTGATCCTCAAAACCCAGACCTTAAAGGCAAAACCCTGATCCCCACTCACAGGCGAAAAGGGATTCTTAGATTCTACATCTTTTCTCCAAAGCTTTTCTCTATGGCGCAGCTCGCGGTTGAGGCCCCCCATCATCAGTTGATCTGCTGCCAGAATGATCGGCCGCTGCAAACAATAGGAAAGTTAAAATGAATAAACAAAATGAAACATCAAATTGAGAAACTTCTAATGAGACAAAGACGAATTAAAGACACCCGCGCTACTTGCAAGAAACCGCCAGCCACCTTGCGCCGCTAAATAAGCACATGTGTCTAAATAGCTTGGCTAAGTATGTATTATTTTTAAAATATATAGAATATGCTTTTATAGTTTACAAATTCATAAAGATGCTGAAGGGGAACATAGAGATGCAAATGCCGATGTATGCACATAGTTGCACAGATGCTATTCTTAATCTTTTCCACATCAAGGGAGGGAGGGCAGTGCATGCATAGATCTGAATGCATAAACGGATAAGTGCTTTATTTTTAGGGTTTGTTGTTGATCTATTTCCTTCGCAAGCTCTTAGCCTCCAGGGTTTGGGGTTTAGGGTTTAGAGATTGACCTGGTGTTTGCCTCCTTTGTTTTTCGGAATACTGTATATCTGGCCTCTCTTGGAGAACTTTCTCTTCCCATCAAAAACAAATACCTTTCCCGTTTCTTTGTCGAAGTAGAGAGGGGCCCTTTCTAAAGTGTGGTGGCCGCACTTGCTGCAAAACAGCAGCCGCGTCTTCCGCTCTATGTGCCCGCAGGCCCTGCGAATCAAACCCTAAACCCTAAACCCTAAACCTTAACCCTTGAAAGCATGGCGCTTGAAGCTTTGGAAGAGAGGTTTTCATAAAATGGATGCATTCTAGAAACAATGCAAAATATGGAATTGCGTGCACTTTATATAAATGCATACATTAGGAGTCCGTGTACTCGCCACAAAGCATACGGCATGCATGCATGCATGCACTTCGCACAAAAGCAAACATTCCATAAAACACAATTAATATTTTCTTGCGCACATATCGTACAGAACTGTAGGCCCTGAGTGTTGCCCTCTTCTGAAACTCCCACATCGTAATGCTCAGATTCCCCTTTAACAATTCGCAGAGAGCCTTTACCTCAAGTAATTCAAAAACTATTTAATATTCTTCTTATACCTCTAAGCACTTGTAAGCAGCAATGAGTATCCCCTACGCCCTCAAAGGCTAGCAACAAGTGTTTCCTTGACCTCTAGGCACTCCTAAGCTAGCGAAAAGTATATTTTTGGGAATTTTCTGTTCGTGCTGATTGCAGGAAGTGCACAATGAAACATTTTAGTACTTTGCAAATTCACCCTTCCTCCTGAATTTGCAGCAATTCATATCATAAACATGTTTAGATATATGTCTATTTACGTGTTTCCTTAGGAAATGCGTAAAAGGCCTTCTTTTATTGAATTTCTAAGTGTTTTCGTAAATAATTCAAGTAGCCGGGCACATGCATTCAGATACTGCATGCACAGAAACAGCCACTGCGACAAACCAGCAAGGACAGCCAGCCGGGAAAATAAAACTCGAAATAAATTTTAAAAATAAATAGAAACTTTCAGCAGCACTCATGTCAGTTGGAGAAAACGAAGTGCAACAAACTCCTCTATGGAGATGAGTCCGAACTCATGCAAAATGTGCAAATGTCGGGCGCATGCACATTTCCAGTGCTTCTTGCATGCAAAATTTGCGGGAATAATTCACCAAAAAAGCCCATTTATTGTGCGAGAATCTACCTTTTACATTTATTGTTTGCAAATGTATTTTTTTTATCTTGTACTGGCAGTCTCAGCACAAGAATATGCACAAACATTCGCGTGGGTGGCTGTGGCCAGCAGATATATATATGAATTATATATACACATTTATCATATTTAGTATATTTTGAATAGCTCAAACAAAAAGTGTACTTAAACACACACATATATATATACATATATAGCCATAGTTACTTGTATCCTGTGAAGCATGCATTCAAGTACAAGATGCATGCAGGAGAAGCATGGAATCGGACTGTAAACGCTGAAACGCATGCAAGCCGCCGAATTAATTCCGAAATAAACTTTAATTGCAATTCTTGCGGCACTAGAACTCCAAAAAAGGAGAAGAAAGTGCAAAAACACAACAACCCCACCCCACCTGCACAGCAGCGCCCACACCTTCACCGTCTTTATCTTTCGCCCGTCCACTGCCACCACCCCCAGCCCCATCTGCAGCAGCACATTTTGAATTGAAAAGTCTGTTGTCATGCACTGCACCAACTCCTCCACTTTCTGTTCCGAAGCCCTCAACTCCAAACCCTCAAAACCAGCAGCAACGCTCTCCACCTGCGCCTCTTCCGCGCCCTCAGGGCCCCCCAAGGGGGCCCCCGAGGGGGCCCCCGAGGGGCCCCCCGAGGCCCCCGATGCCCCCGAGGGGGCCCCCTCGGGGGCCCCCGAAGGGGCCCCCGAGGGGGCCTCCTCAGCAAGCCCTTCAGGCCCGCCCACAGGGGGCCCCTGAGGGGGCCCCTGAGGGGGGCCCCCAGGGGGCCCCTCAGGGAGAGAAGCTGGAAGGGCCCCCTCAGGGGCCTCCCCAAGAGCCTGTGGGGCCCCCAGGGGGGCCTCCGCGGGGGCCCCCGAGAGGCCCTTGAGGCCCAAATGAGCTCGCAGCACTTCCTCCGTGACCCACCCCTCCTCTGGGTCCATGTCATCCTCAGTATACTCAGAGCTGCTGTCTTCTTCTTCCTGCTGCTGCTGCTGCTGCTGCTGCTGCTGCTGCTGCTCGGCGTCCCCTTCGCCCTGAGCAGCCCCCCTCCCTGCCCCTGCTGCTGCTGCTGCTGCTGCTGCTGCTGCGGGTTTTGCGTGGGCGCCGCGGGGCCCCTGGGTGTGCTGCAGCGTCCATGCATGCGTTGGGGCTGCGCTGCTGTCGAGCTGCTGCTGCAGCAGCAGCTCGGAAAAGAACTCGAAAGCCGGGGGTTTGAGTTTGAGGTTTTGTGTCTCTCCCGTGGCTCGCTGCAGCATGTAAGTGAGAGCAACAATTCCCAAATCTGTCGGAGACAAAAAAGGAAGATCTCCAGTCATATCTGCGAACTTGCGGGCCCACTGCAGGTCTGCTGCTGAGGGTTCGAGTGTATGGACAGCCAGCAGCAGCTGCTGCTGCTGCTGCAGCCGCTGCCGCGCCGCTGCTTCCCGCACTTCTGCTGCTGCTGCTGCTGTTGTGATGAAGCAGCAAAAGTCCCGAAACTTCTCCAGGGCCTCCACCCGCAGCAGGGCCCCCGCGTCCAGCACAATTATGGGTCTTTCTTTGCTGGCGCGGGCGAACTGGGGGACTGCAGGGGGCCCCGCAGCAGCAGCAGCTGCTGCTGCAGCGCGGGGAGCTGCTGCTGCTGCTGCTGGCTTTGCTGCTGCTGCGGGCTTCTCAGGGGGCTCCGCCGACGCCGCTGCAGCAGAGGCCCGAGCCGCCCGCTGGGCCCACGAAAGGGGAGGGCTGGGTTTGCTGCTTGCTGCTGCTGCAGCATTCGTGTTTTGGGGCGAAGGCTTCTCGTCTGCTGCTGCTGCTGCTGCTGCTGCAGCAGCTGCTGCTGCTGAATCGGCCATTTTGGGGGTTCGGCTGAAGCTGAGAACCCTTGAGGGGGCTCCCTGGAATAAATAGATTAGGAGAGCATTTATGCATTCATTTAATAACAGAAATTAAATGAATTGGTCTGCAAAAAGCTGAAATTTGCAATAGAGTTCAACTGCGATGCAGATTCTCCAGCGGAACGCATGCGGGGGCCCCCCGACACAATCGACGCAGGGCACCGCGGGGCCCCACACGAACTAAGATTCTGAAATAGAGAATGCGAATATATTAATAAATATTTCGGCACAATTTATTATTCGGTGTCACGGCCGAAGTTGCAAAGCCGCGGCGCGAGAGCCTTGCGCCTGCGCCGTTCCTCGTGAGGCACCGACTGTGCGCGCACTTCTCTTAAAGGCTCGCTAAATATATTTGCAGAAGTTAATCTGTAACTGTACTTGCATGATAATGAGCGCAAATTTGCCTCGGGTTTCGTCGGAGGTGGACGGAGCGGCGGACGACGCGCGGTGTACGTACACCGCAGCAGCTGCGTCGTGCGACGGTCCGCAGTTGCCTCCCTTCGTCCACTTCAATGATTCCCACTTGCCTTCAGCTTTTCCGCGGCGCTTTCTCGCTGCACATGCAGCATTTTGCACGAAAGATGGAGAAGCGCCGCAGCTTCCCGACTACCTGCTTGCAGATTCAAGTTTTTGCGCTCGCCAGAGCAGCAGCAGCAGCAGCCTGACCGGGAAAGCAGCAGGAAACCCTGCGCAAATGAGTCAACTAGCCCGAAATAAAGAAGATGAAATAAATGGAATTAATTTCGCACATTTAGCTGCGCGAAAACCGCTGCAGCAGCGAGCTCTCCTCCGCACTGTCGAGTTCCTGAAACAAGAAGGCTTCGATTTCAACTCCATTCCCGAGGCCATCAGGGAATCCTTGCTGGCAGATTCGGCGAAAGCTGCTGCAGCAGCAACAGCAGCAAGTGGAGATTCAAATGCTGCAGCAAATAACTCAATTAACGGAAACTCAGAAGCAACTGGGCAGGCAGCAATTGAGGCTTCTGCTGCAGGCCGCCCCAGCGAGAGGCAGCAGCCTGTCTGTGCGTCTGCTTCTGCTGCTGCTGCTGCAGCGGCGGACTCTGTTGCTGCTGCTGCAGACGCTGCAGAGAAGCACAGGGCGGGCGCTGCAGATGCAGGAGCAGCAGCAGCAGCAGCAGCAGCAGCTGCTGCTGCTAACTTAAGCTGCGGCGAAGCCGGAAAGCGGCAAAGAGAAAAGCACCTTGATAATCCCCTTCTGGAGGCAGAAGAGGACAGCAGCAGCGCCTCACCGCCGTCACCTGCTGCTGCTGCTGCTTCTGCAGCACCTGCTGCTGCTGCTGCTGCTGCTGCTGCTGCTGCGGGCAAAGTCGGCAGCTGCGACCCTGAAGAACGCAAGAAAAGACGGGGATTAAACTCTGCAGCAATGCGACACAAAAACTTGGAACAAACCAGCATGGAGTCTGCTGCCAGTGTGGGTCAATTAGCAGCAGCAGTTTCTTTGCAGCAGCAGCAGTTTCTTTGCAGCAGCAGCAGCAGCAGCAGCGTCTTTGTAGCAGCAGCAGCTTCTTCATAGCAGCAGCAGCTTCTTTATTGCAGCAGCAGCTTCTTTACAGCAGCAGCAGTTTCTTCGCAGCAGCAGCAGTTTCTTTGCAGCAGCAGCAGTTTCTTTGCAGCAGCAGCAATTTCTTTGCAGCAGCAGCAGTTTCTTTGCAGCAGCAGCAGCAGCAGCAGCAGTTTGTTTTTCTGTGATTTTGCACAAGTCATAAGTTCTTTCTTGTATCGAAACACTTCTCCAACTTTGGCAGGAAATTTTGCTTGAGGTTCATTTGATGTTTTTGTTGCATTTATTTACTTGGATTTATACTTTTTTATTTCAATGAAAGATATTTGAATAATTGAAAATAAAATTTAATTATCTTTTCCTTATTCCAGCTCCGCAGTGGATGAAATCAGAAATGAGACTTCATTTTTATTCAGGAGTTGTTTGTTTCCTTGAATTAATTTGCATGCAAGTCTGCATGCATTTGCATGCAAAAAAGAAACTTCTTTGAAATGTTTTTATTTCCAATTTTTGCATGCAGAACTTTTGCCTCTCTATGGCGGCCTGCGGTGTCTGCGACTCTGCGCAGTGCAGCAGAGAACACGACTTAGCAGCATTTATGAAAGTAAGTTTTAATTCTTTTCCATTTTAAATTAATTTCTTTTCTCATTTCGCTCTTATTCCACATTTATTTTCTCAATTCGCTCTTAGTCTACAAATTCATGTATTATTGGCTGTACTCTCCACGGTGTCTGTACACTGCGCACGACTTGAACTTGAATTGCAAACGGGTGAAAAAGTGAAATGTGAATTTCTGCTTTTTTGCATCTTGGTGTCCTGCAACTCACACTTAGCTAAATAATAATTCAAAATGTTTTTAATTGATTAAAAATGAACTTTTGGATGTTGATTTCTCGCATTGAATCCGCAGATGTGGCTGTGAAGACGCATTTGAATTCAGATTGGGAAGTGTTGAGAAACCAGCTGATTACGCAATAACTAGCTCGCCTTTGTCTGATTTTTCGCGGCAAATAAAAAATATAATTTAAATGGCATTTAATTGACCAGTTCTAGTTGTTGTTGCTGCTTCCACAGACGCGTCTCGCGGACTTAGACAAAAATTGCATTTTTTTTTCGCGCTACGGAATGTGCCCCTACGGCTGCTGCTGCCGATTTGCTGGCTGCCACCTGGACCCCCAGGGTGAGTGCAGATCTTTTGAACAAATTAATTAATTTATTTTTAATTAATTTATTCCAAAGATTTGCGTTTAATCATGAAGATTAAATGCATTTTGCCAGCTTCAAACCCCGCAGAGTGTTTCGAGCTGCTGCTGCGCACAAACACGCTGAAATAGTTTTTGTTTTCTCGTTTAAAACAAATAATCAATTATTTAATGAATTATTTATTTTATTAATTAGTTTTAATTTTGAAAATGCAAAAGTGGAATATGCATCTGTTGTGCAGGAGTCAACATGCACAGAGAAGGCCGCCCAGTGACTGCGGCGGATTTGCAAAACTACAAAGAGTTGCATAAAAATGATGAAATTAATGTTGTGGCAATTCAAGCAGCACAAACATTTAGCAAACGAAACAAAAATAAACCCAAATCCGGCAAAGAAACCCGCACAGAGGGCCCCCAAGGGGGGCCCCCACAAACAGCGGAAGAGGAAGGGGGCCCCCTTTCGGGGCCCCAGGGAACAAATGAGGAATTGGGGCCCCCCCAGCCCCCTGCAGCAAAGGGGGAGCCCTCAGAAACCGGCAAAGAGGAGGGGGGGCCCCCGAAGGGGCCCCTCGGGGGGCCCCCGAAGGGGCCCCTGGAGGGGCCCCCAGAGGTTCTTTCGGGGGGGCCCCCGGAGGGGCCCCCTGTGGGGCCCGTGGGTATCGAAGAAGACCTTGGGGGCCCCCGCGAACGGCGGCTGCGATTTGCGCAGCGCGTTCGGGGCAAAGCCTTTTTGGCCCCTTTAACTACTGTGGGAAATTTGCCATTTAGAAGACTCTGCACAAAGTTAGGGGCAGATGTTACGGTGGGCGCAAACCCTAAACCCTAAACCCTAAACCCTAGGGTTTGCGGGTTGGAAGCCTTCGTGTGCAATTTGCGCGGGTCCGCTGCTGCTGTGGATGGCTCCGCCGCGGTTGCTCTTGCTGCTGCTTTGCTGCTGCTGCTGCTGCTCTTGCTGCTGCTCCTGCTGCTCCTTTCGCAGCTGCTTCTTTTGCAGCTGCAGCAGCGTTGCTGGATGCAGCTGCCGTTGCTGGTGGGCCGTCATGCTGCTGCTGCTGCTGCTGCTGCTGCTGCTGCTGCTGCCGCTGCTGCTGCTGTGGTAGGCTGGGATGAAGAGGCTTTTTCAAGTGCAGCAAATATGAACCGCCACAATGGACAATTTAAATTTGAAATCCAACAAAATATTAAAATAAAATAAATCAATTTTCTTTTCTGCTGCTGTTTCGGCCAGGTCAGCGAAATGGCAGTGGCGCAGTCGCTGGTAGAAGGCAAACCCTCGGAGTTGTCTTTGCTGCGGTGAGAGCTGCCTGCCGAAACCCTAAACCCTAAACCCTAAACCCTAAACCCCAGACATAAACCCTAGAGCCAGTTTGCTGCGATGCTGCAGGCGCCACCAAGATGAAAAGATATTTGGAGTGCAAGTCGCGGCGGGGTTTCCTGATGTAGCTTTTGAGCAAGTCTACTGCTGCTGCTGCTGCTCTTGCTGCTGCTGCTGCTGCTGCTGTTGTTGCTGTGTCTTTTTCTTCTGCTATTCCTGTGCTTTTGCTGCTGCTGCTCTTTTTTGCTGCTGTTTTTCTGAAGCTGCTGCTGTTGCTGCTACTGGTGTTCTTGCTGCTGGTTTTGTTCTTGTTGCTGCTGTTGCTCTTGCTGCTGTGCTGCTGATGTTGCAGCTGCTGCCTCACTTGCTGCTGCTGCTTTTTGTCCTGCTGCTTCCTCCGTCCCTTTTGCTGCTTCTCTTCTGCAGTATGGCTAAGTGCGGCTGCTGTTGCTGCTGCTGCTGCTGCTGCGCCTGGCTTCTTGCTGCCTATTATTACAAAATATTGGTTTTATTTTTGAAAATAAATAAAATGTTTTTGCAAAAATGTTCAGATGCGGAAAACTTCTCGCTGAAAACGTGAAGTGCGACTTCATAGACCTCAACGTGGCGTGCCCGTTGGACCAGCTGCACCGCAGGTTTAGAGGTGACAGGCGAAAGCGCATTTAATTAATTTAATTAATTTAATTAATTTAATTCTTTTTAATTAATTAAAAAACAATTATATAAATTGTTTTGCCTTTTATTCCGAGCTTAAATGTCTTCAGATATCCTTTTCTTACCCGGATTTCACTGTGACTGCCAAAAACTTGAATTTCAGCTTTTCAGAATTTGGATTTGCAAAGAGCTGCTCTTTTTGTCGTTTTCTTCTTTTTTTTAAATGCAAAGAAGTGGAAATTAATTATATTTTGCATTTGAATAA